TCGGGAGTATCTACAAGACTTCTTCTCCTTCCATAGTTCTTTCTAATGCTGACATCAGGCAGACGGGAACACATTTTGGGAGTGCATGGGAGAGTTTCCACATTTCTCCTGAAGGTGAGAAGCACATGAAAACAGCCTCACCTTGCTTGGAGTAGGAGGCTTAGAAGAGACTCAGATGAAGAATGCCCAGGAGGAAGAAGAGGAGACACCTCCACCCCAGCAGAAGGAGCGTGAGGGCTACAGGGGGAAGCAGGAACCACAGTTCCCCAAACCAAGAGAGGAGATGCCCCCAGGAAGGGTGCTGGAGACTTGAACTGCTCTTAGGGTTGACAGGAGACAGGGCCGCCCCTGAAGAGCCTTAAGCAATGGAAATGGAATGAAACCGAGCAGTGGCTCCAAAGAAACCACATCCACTGTCTACCCCGAAATGGCCACATCAGAAAAGACCTCAAGCTTCAGACAGACCCGGATGGTGCCACAGAGGAATCAAGGCCACCCCATCAGCCCATCACATGATGGTCATGTACATTGGCCCTCACTGCTTCCCATCTCTCCCGCTGCCTCAAGCATGGACAAGCCAGAGACAGAAGAGTGACAGGAGAAAGGAAAGGAAAGCCCATGCTCTGTCTCCATCCCAGTCCTCTGAGCCACAAATCTATACAGCTATAGCAAAGAAGAAATCATGGCATTACACAGAATATCGGTGTTTTTAACAGGACCTAGCTGTGTTTAATCATTTGAAGTGGCCAGGCAGTTATAGAATCTGCCAAGCTAAAGTAAAGGTTGAGAAAGGCAGACATCACAGAACACAGCAATGAGCGGGGAAAAAAATGTCTCATGTTGGTGTCTCCACTGCATTGAGTGTTCTGAATCAGCCACTTACATCATTTGGATTCTCTTAATTGATCTACCTTCCCTAATCCTTTTTCGAGCCATTCGGTACTCATTTTTATGGGGTTTTTTTTGGGGGGGTGGGGGATGAGAAACAAGACCAGAGCTCTCTGTCTTCTCTGTTTTGCATATATCTGCTTGGCTCATTCTTTCACAGAGCAGACAGAATTTCTCTGGGTGGCCAGAAACAAGGCCACCATCCTCTCCAACTTTAGATTCTTCCTGACTCAAAAGCCCAGAGTTGGGGCCCTTCTCCAACTCCAACAGAAAAATCTCAGGGAAAGACCTGGATTGGCCCCACGTAAGTCACAACATACCCCACCAAATGAGTGACTGCGATTTCCATGTTTTAGGTTTCTCTTCTCTAAAAGTTATAAAGTCCTATATGTAAACAAATGGGCTTTCCCTTTTTTATCCTTGGAATAATAAAAAGATTAAAATGTCATGTGGCTACTGTTTGGACAGCACAGCATATAGAGAGCACTTTCATCATTCCAGAAAGTTCTGTTGGACAGCACTGATTCAGATGCTTAACGGAGGCCCAAGTCACAAGCAGACTGCACCAAGAACACGTTGGCGATCAGAGCAAGGCAGGTATAGAACCAGGAAAGACCAAACGCCAGTGGGCAAGGACAGTCAGCAGAGGCCAGGATGCCCACAGAAACTGCTTGGGGACAAATGTGTGACTGCGGTGTTGGGGTGACAACTTCCTTCTCACTGGGCTGGCTGCATCTTCCCAGGCAGGCACCAAATCCCGCCCGTGGAAGGAGGTAAGCAGGTGCAGCTGGCTGGAGCGGGGCCTGTCGCAGCTGGAGGCAGGAATAGAATTGCCTTGCATTTGCCTTTCCTGGGGGAGACCCCGCACCCCAAAGTCCACATCTGTCAGGGGAGAAGCAGAAACAAAGAAAACAAAGTCACTTAACTATCCTTCTGGAGAGTCCTTAACCTTTATTTTTTCTCTTTATAAATGTTCCAATCAGGATAAAGCCAAGAGAATAAAGGTCTGGAAGGAGTTGGGGCTGAACATCCAACCCAGAATATTCCCTTTTATTTTATTTTATTTTTATTTTATTTTATTTTATTTTATTTTGAGACAGAGTCTCACTCTGTTGCCCAGGCTAGAGTGCCATGGCGTCAGCTCACAGCAACCTCAAACTCCTGGGCTCAAGCGATCCTCCTGCCTCAGTCTCCCAAGTACCTGGGACTACAGGCACGTGCCACCATGCCCGGCTAGTTTTTTCTACATATTTTCAGTTGGCCAATTAATTACTTTCTATTTTTAGTAGAGATGGGGTCTCGCTCTTGCTCCGGCTGGTTTCAAACTCCTGTCCTTGAGCAATCCGCCTGCCTTGGCCTCCCAGAGAGTTAGGATTACAGGCATGAGCCACCATGCCCGGCCCAATATTCCTCTTTATATACGTACCAGAATTCAACCATTCCCTCATGTGAGGCACATTTAGGTTGTCCTAGTTATCTTTGCTTACCTAGTCCCTGACACAGTGTCTGCCACAGAATCGGTATTCAGAAAATGTTGTTGAATTAATCAATTAGTCCCCTTAATTCAGTTACATAAGAAAACAGTATAGCTGCCCAGAAAAAATGTTCATCTATTAAATGTGGGCAACAAGGGAATAATGGGGATGAAGATATATCATTTAAGCCAGGGCTGCTGCAGTGCAGCATCACAAGTGCTGGTTCTGACAGAGGTTTGTGCCCTGCCAGTAACTAGCTGTGCTCCTTGGACCTCGGTTTCCTCATCTGTACTAAGTTCTATGTGCTCCATGACCCTGTCCAGCTCTGAAATTCTCTGCATCGTGACACCTGGCCCTTCCTTCTTTGACCTAGAACATAAGCACTTTCCCCCCTAAAAGTGTATAAGAGAGATTTCTGCTTGCTTTTTGGTGGAGATAAGGGAGTTTATTAAGATGGGTTGAGTAACCCCTCTCCCCATAAAAATGAGTCTAGGGGTATCCCCAGTCCATCTGGGGCCAGCTTAAGTGACCTTTAATTAAGTCCTAAAACTACTCATGATTATGCAAATCTTCATCTGAGACCACAGGGCAGAAAGTCTTCCCTAACCCCAGAGGAAAATGGAAAGCCTCGTTGGGTGGTTGATTTCTGGAGGCAAAGGAGAGAAGAATGTGGGGCTCTGTGGAGGGGTTAATACAGGACGTCATAGAATTGCAGGGAAGAAATTAAAAAAAAAAAAGGCCAAGGAAACAGGCCCTTCCAGTAGGTAAGCAAGAAAAAAAAAAAAATAAGGCAGGAAATAATATGTAAAACTACCTACATAGCCTGTAGTTAATGCATTTATAACTACTTACATGCCTCTGGTTTGCAAAAAAAGAAGAAAAAAATGGTGATGAAGTTCAATATCATCAGCCTAACTTTACAGATGAGGAAACTGAGTCCAAAAGAGGTTCACTTTGATGACCTTGCATTAACGAGAGCCTACTAGGTGCCAGGCATAAGTTACACAGCAGTGCACCTGATGGACATGAAACTGACAGCCCAGTGAGGGCTGTCACATACTGAACAAATGATTAGCCAAATACCTATTTAATTATAATGGTATGAAGTCCTACAAAAGGGAGAGTCCAGGGTACGCTCTGGGGTACAGGGAAGTAGCAAATGCAACTACCTAACTTGGGGCAGAGGTCAGAGAAGGGCTCTGCAGAAGTCAGCAGAGACCTGAAGGATGGCTGGGAGGTAGCCAGGTGAGGAGAGTAGAGGCAGGAGGAGAGGTCCCAGCTAACTAAAGCACCATAGTTTTGACCTCAGGAAGATTTCCTTGTCCCCCACCCCCCAGACTATGCTAGGGCCCTGACAGTGCCCTTATAGGATCCAGGTTCCCTTCTCAGCCCCTAACTAATTTGCAATCATACATTTCTTTTTGTGATTGTTAGATTAATGTCTGCCTTCCACATTAAGCTCAAGCTACAGGAAAGCAGGGACTGTCCCTGCTTTTGGTCACCACTGTACCTTCAGCACCTAATACAGGACTGGGACAAAGAATATGCCCAATAACCATTTGCTGAGCGGCGAAATTAATAAGCTGATGAGTGTGAGAAATCTTGTAATTAAAGAAAAATGGCAGGCCGGGCGCGGTGGCTCACGCCTGTAATCCTAGCTCTCTGGGAGGCCGGGGTGGGAGGATCGCTCCAGGTCAGGAGTTCGAGACCAGCCTGAGCAAAAGCGAGACCCTGTCTCTACTAAAAATAGAAAGAAATTAGCTGGACAACTAAAAATATATAGAAAAAATTAGCCGGACATGGTGGCGCATGCCTGTAGTCCTAGCACTCTGGGAA